ACATATGTCAAATTATGATTCCAAAATAACTTATGTCAATTTAGAATTAACATGAATTCCAAAGTGACCTATAACATGAATACTACTACAAGACGCAATGAAACCTGCTCGAATTTAATTTCAAATAATCATTAATCTGAAACCCAAAATATAGCTTCGCTTCGAGTTTCGGAAAACCGAAAACTGCAATAATATTCCGAAACTTACAGCTGTTTTCATAAATTATGGAACGAATTCGATAAATTGTTGATTTTAATCGGAATAATAAATTATATACAGTATTATCATTACTATTCTGAAGTACTGTATTCACAAAAGTTCTTTGCTTGTTAAATCTATCATTTCAATAGCTTCATTTAATTCATCTTTATTAAATATATAATTTAACTTATAAAGATTTTACGATGTTATAGATTATAATTTTAATAAAATTTCGAAAAAGTCTTTGATTTCTTGTAATCTCAACTTGAGTTGCTATTTTTTGAACCAATCGACAAATTCTTGATCATATTTAACCTTTTTTTTTTGTTAGCACCTACGTGTGAATATGTTTATTAAGAAAGTCTAATTTATGCTCTGAACTTCTTTTATGTAACAGTCATTGCCATAAGTTTTCGTACACTTTAAACATGCCATACAAATTGAATAAGCATTAAGTCGAAAACTTAATAAAGATGTTGGTTGAATTAGTGATGCAAATCTACACAAAATATTAGATGATCCAACTCATCAACCATTTTAACAAAAAATATAATATCTATTGTCTTAATGCAATTTAATATCGAGTAATCATCGCTATGTATAAGAATAACGTAGACATATAATACATAAATTTCTTTTTGTATACCGAAATAAATATTTTATCAAGTTCGGCCGAATAATAATAGATCAAATTTTTATCAGTTGTCCCTGAATTATGAGAACATCTGTAACAGTTTGTTCTCATAAATTTTGACCGAATTGATAAGTTACAGACATCGGCCGCCGAAATCAGTAAACTTATTGAATCGGCCGAATTAATCTTTTCAGTTGTTCCAAAATTTGAGAGTTTGGAACAGCTGTAAATTTTGAAATATCGAAAATAAAAAAAATTTCCCAATAAAAAATAGAACTTCAACTACTAAATCTCTTTGATATTATTAGCAAATTATATGTGACAGACTTAATTCAGGTTCAAGTGTGATGTCTTCTAATATAAAATGTTGTGAAATTTTTGTTTATTTTAATTGGTCCTTCTCAAATCATTCCATTACTGTCTGCACAGATTTCCCCTTATGGAAATTTGCTTAACGATAAAAATAACTACGTACTCTTTTGGTTATGCATTTATGAATTGCATTTAATTACGTAATAGTAATTTTAGGCTTAGTTCAATAAGAGTTTTTGCTATTGTTAGTTATCTGGCACGTGATATGATTGTGGTGTCATAAAATTACGCAATCATTTGTACAAATTTCCGCCAAAATCATTATAGGCTGTAGGGACATCTAACCTCGATAATGACGTAATTCTTCAAAATAGAGATTGGACCCGTTTAGAAAATCTTTCCGGGTATTATTAAAATTTACACATATCATATAGCAGCAATTTTTACCCGGGCGGTTCCAATCCTTACTTCAAAAAGGGTCGATAACTGATTCGCGCTTATAAGACACTGTGTCTACTTTTAAATGTTTAATTGGACCCATAGGATGTATAATTACTTTAGGAAATTTCGGTTTATAATCTTATAGTGAATATATATAAGTTATTTTATTAAAGAATAAATTAAGACATTTTCGCAAAATTATTAAGAGTGGATTTTAGATTACTAATAAACCGTTTCCTGAATTGTTTATAACTGAACCTGTTAAAATTATCCTAAACATATTATCTAAACGTTTATCTTACAATCCCGACGTAGTGATTAACCCACGCCACTCGCTAAATCAAAGTTTACTTTTTGATTCGAAGCCAACTGATTACGGTACTTAAATCAGTTTTTACTAAGAATGGCTTCACTACGCAGCACTTGGAAGTAACATTGTGTTATTTTTCATCTCACTGCCTTATATATCTAATATATTGGAATTTTGGCAAAAAATTGCAGCAGTTTTTTTACAATTTAATTGGACAAACTATGTGCGCAGTACACTAACGGACATTTCCGAATAATACCTTATTAATAATATAACTTAATGAAAAACTTATTGAAAATATGCAAATTAATTTTTATTTAATAGTTTTAAGCAGCTTATTTATTGATGTAATAAAAATTTGTGTTGTCTTTAAGACAGCGGGACGTCCAGTCCGGAATTGTATCATACGATCGACTTTTAATTTCAAATGATGAGCATTGCATCACATTACCGTAGATACTTAAATAGGATCTAAAATGATCTCATGATTTGTAAACACTCGAACAATTATTGCAAAAAAACCATTCATAAAAAAAATATTCAAATTACTATTAAATTCTTTCCAAAATTTCATTCTACATAAAAAACTTTTTTTTAAAAAAAAAATGTTACCATCAGAAGAATTTTTACCAAGTTACCTTCGTTATAGTCCAATAATTAAATATAAAAATACTTCATATAAGCAACTTTCATTACCTACACATTGGAATTCAACGGATTGTTGGCCTTATATAACTATTATAGATCAAGAACAGTTAAAACTTCAATATAATGGACCAGGAATAACTTCATCAGATGCTGCCGCAGTCAGAACTAATAACCCTATTCCACCAGAAGTTGGTTTATATTATTTTGAAATAACCGTCTTAGATAGAGGAGAAAATGGGTAAGTTTATTTTTATAATTTTTATAGGTTTTTAATAAAAAAAAATAATAACATTATATTACATTTTAAAGATGTATTGGGATCGGATATTGTAATTCAACTGTTGAACTTAATATATTACCAGGTAAAATTAATAATTGATGAAAATAATTAAAACATTTGATCAAAAATTACTTTTTATTTAATGCTTTTTTTTTAAAAAAAAAAATAGGATGGGTTGATGACGCAATTGGATATCATGGAGCTAATGGTCGATTATCTTGTGAAACGGGAGCTGGCGACATATTTGGACCTTGTTACGGTACCGGAGATACAGTTGGTTGTGGAATTAATTTTCTTAACATGGAAATTTTTTTCACAAAAAATGGTATAAACATAGGTAGAGGTCCATTTTTATATTTTGAAACTTATTCTTACGGTAAATATAATGATTTTATTTTAATTAATTTGTATTTTTTTTTTTTCGTTTATATAATTATGTAAGTTTT